TAACTAGCTGATTTCCTCGGCCCTCATTCTCCCAGCCTACAGGGTACGAAGCCATGAAAGATTGCATTATCTTCGAAGTACCACACTGATAAAATGGATGAGCATCCCGTTTCCGTCACCCCAAACAAAACTTCAGCGCGGTGCAGTTTCCGTTTTCGTAACCCATAGCGTACAAAACACGTATCCGCATAACACACTTGCACAAGGTCACATCCACGCAAAATTCAAAGACTGAAGCACGCCGAGTCTCGACTTGACACATATCAAGCAGTCCACGCTTTTCACCGCGAAAACGAAAAGTTGATGTACAATGACGTAGCTTTGTAAAACAAAGAAAATGCATTGGACAGCCACCTCCGCGCTGATGACAATTAAAATGCTGCTTTGGGGAGGTGCCCCTCCAGCCATATCACCAGAGCCTCAGCGAAAACACACCCTGGCAGCTTTGACGTAGATCTGAACTTTTAGATACCAATCACATTCTTGGAAGTCTGATCACGAAGGATCACTGGACGGTGCTGGCGACCGTCCTGAGTTCACCACCGTCGCCTTCAAGTCCTGGTGAATGACCATCAGCTGGTAGGGCTCGGGAACGCCCACCACATCACTCGGGGGTCCGTCTCGCTCTGCGGGCTCTGGGTCTGGCGCGACCTCACACTCCGCGTCCTCGTGATCACCCAGCGCGGACCCGCCCGCAACGCCACCTATCTTCCTCTTCACGCCCGTGACGGCTGGGGCGCCGCCGACAGTCCCGGGACCGGCAGCGGCGGGAGGACAGTCGTGAGCGGGCTCCGGGGAGGCGGATGGGCTCCTGTGAGGGGGCTCAAGGGAGACCGACGAGTCCTTGTGAGTGGGCTCAGGGGAGGCGGACGGGCTCCTGTGAGGGGGCTCAAGGGAGACCGACGAGTCCTTGTGAGTGGGCTCAGGGGAGCGGACGGGCTCCTGTGAGGGGGCTCAAGAGGGACCGACGGACCCTTGAGAGCGGGCTCAGGGGAGGCGGACGGGCTCCCGTGAAGGGCCCTCGGAGGAGATTCGGGAGAGGTAGACGAGCGCTTGGGAGGGGGCTCACAGAACTCGGACGCGTTGTGGTCGGAGGGACTGAACTGGGCAGGTGCCGGGGGATCGGAGGGAGGGCGGATCCAGGTCAGCCGGCCGCGCGCCGCGTCCTGGCGGATGTGCGCCAGAGCCTCGACAGCCACCAGGTCCGGGTGCACCGATTTGCGGAACACCATGCAGTGCAGGTGCAGAGTTTTCTCGTACCTACAGAGGGGAACGGGCGGTGCTTAGAGCCTGAATCGGGAAGCGTGGCGCGTATTGTGCGGAAGCAATGTCACACGGAGAGGTATGGTGGAAACCATCTCACGATTCAGAGATGTCAAACAATTGGATGGTTCAGAAGAACCAAAACCCTTTCTTGGACACACCACACGCTCTGCTTTGCATCTTACCGGATTCAGACTTATTATAGAAGCGTAGGCACACACTGAGGCTAGCCAGGTCGGATTGGCATGGGGAGAGACAGGACAAACGACTGGCGAACCGGAACAGCGCCACTCTGAAGACACAGTATAACGGCACAGCAGAAATACCACAGCCGGAAGCGAAAGCTGCACAGACTTCCTGGACAGCATGACCTACGCATGCGTAGCAAAGCTCGCACATCAAGGACACCAAAGACTGCGGGAACAGCAGAAAATACAACACTAGGCCAGGCCGACCACAACTTCAGACAACAGATTGAAGGCTACGTGAGCACCACGGACTGCCAAGCACACGCAACAGACAGGCAGACGGACGGACACAGACAGACAGACAGACGAGGAGCCGTGGCACGTGACTCACCTGACGCGGACGAGCCCGAGCGTGCCGAGCGCCAGCCGCCAGGCGCGGTAGAGGGGCCCGTTGGCGGTGCGGTGAGCCGAGTCGGGGCTGACCACCACCAGCACGCCCTCGGGCCGCAGCAGGCGCGCCGCCCGCCGGCAGCACGCGTACCGCAGCGCCGGCGTCGGCAGGTATTCCAGCAGCAGGCAGAAGCAGACGGCGTGCCAGGCGTTGGCGGCCAGGCTCAGCAGGCGGCCGCCGTCGGTGGCCGTGTGCGCGCCCACCGGCACCGAGAGCAGGTCACCGCGCAGCACGGTGTCGGCCGCCGGCCACAGATCCAGCGCCGTCACCCGCAGCCGCGCCGGCCGCGCAGCGGGTCGTAGCAGCTGCCCACGTCCAGCGTGTCGAAGAGCGGCAGCTGACTGAGCTCGGCGGCGCTGCCGGACGGCCGACACTGGTCAACGCTCGGGTCTCCGGTTAATCCTACCATGATGCGGAGCCGCCAACCGAGCAAGCACATATCAGCCAGCTACGGGTAGGTTTTAGATGACAGTATGTGTCGATTGCTCTTGAGATGTACAAATAGCGCCGCAGACCAGGACAGTTCCACAGACAGCAGCACATGAAAAGGAAAGGAAATGACATGGGAAAGGAAAATCAGTGTTCATGCTTACCAGCAGGCAACACATAACCGTATCCAGCGCGAAATACAGCTCAACAGGATTTCACGGGCGCGTTATGATACCAATGCCATGCGATCTGGGGTGTCGACGTTCAGGCGCGTCGCCTCGACCGGGTCGCACCTGGTCCAGGCGTGCGGCGCGGCGCCGTGTCGCTCCGCCAGCCGGTCGTCGTAGGCGCGCGCCCGGGCCAGCTGAGGCTCGGTGTGGTACTCGAGGATGGCGCGGTGCGTCCAGACGAGCCGACAGAGCTCGGGCGCCGCCGCGTGACGCTCCGCCCACACCTCGGTGGCCTGGCGCAGCATGGCCGCCGCGTACTCGGCCTTGCCGGCCTCCTGGGACACGTGCCGCCGCCACACGGCCATGTCCGAGCTGCCATCTGTCGAGGCGAAGCGAAGTTGTAGTTAGGCCGTTCGTATACGGGGGTGGTTCACAGGACTGGACATGAAATGGAATCCCGATGGTTTCTACGTCACGTTTGCGCAGATCGATCAAGTCGCCGTGTGTCAGCTCGTAGGTTGCATGCACAGCACATACAGCACGCGACATACATACAGCGCGCGACAAAGACGGTCTTCTTACACGTTCTCACACTTAAATATCCGCATGTCACGTGTTTTTGCGTGCTTCTCCAACGGGCAATTTGTTGTGGAGTTTTGCAGTTGGATTTGGACCGCAGCGGCGGATTCTCACGCAGTGCGTATTGATGAAAGGCAACGCCAGGACAAGATTCTCATCTGGCTGGTAACTTATACTTCTTCGGACAAAGCTAGTCTTTTTCGTACCAAGATCTGTTACGTGACCTACGGGTTCCCTCTTAGGGGTCACGGACAGTGTATCATGACTTTTTTAAAAATCAGAACAGTTTTTAGCAAAATTAGATTATCATGTCTTACCACGCCGTTTCTCCCTACACCTGCCTGCTTGATTCACCCGCAGACAAAGGTCGCTTGGTGTTCCTGGTCGCGGGTGAGCACGCGAGATCCTCAGCATTATGTAGGGCACCGAGACTAGTGAACATTTTCGTCGCGACACTGTAGAAGCTGGCCTGTTTACTGATGATTTAGATACTTTCAAGGCCCGTGCAGCTAGTTTCTTACGCTCACGGTAATGACTTTTATCGGGTGTTTCCCCAGATAAAGATGTTTAATGCATGCTGTGCAAACCGTATTTATTTCTTGCTAATTCACTGAAATCGGTTGTAACTGGCAGCGACGATCTTCACGAGCTGCACTTAACTGATCAATACATCATTCCAGGTGCAGTCGGTGCGATCCGTAAAGGAATGGGCGACCACGTGCGCAATACCTTCTTGGAAATCCCCGTTAAGTGTTTTAACTATCCTCTACTAGGTTGTCTCTTATTTTATCCAACATTTGGAAAGGAAAACGACCAGAATTAGTGAACGGCATGACTAGACACACACATAAGTCATAAATAAGATGAGTAAAATCAATACGGAAATAAATTACCTCTCGTGGAGACGGTAAACACACGAAACGTACGTATCATTCCGCCGCAGGGTAATTTTGTCAGTGGAATGACGATCGTTGTTGTATGCATGTTTACAGCTACTGTTCCATTTTTGGCTTATAATAGGCCACTACAGTGCAACTAGTCCCAGCCATATCAGAACAGTTTCGCAGTTATCTTGGAGGGACATGGTACACCAAAAACCCGAGCACCAGAGATTCTGACCTCACGAAGCAATGCAAGCTGGTCCGGCGTATGGCGCCGACATCTGTCATCAGTTACCAGCCGGATCACTTCATTTCCAACAGACATCTCCCACCGCACTACCTCCAAGACCATAGCCACCGGCCACAAGTCCGGCGTCTATAAGGCCAGAACGGTCTGGCTGGGGCAGTGGCGTTGCCATGGAACCACACAATAACAGCCTGCGGACCGGCCAGCCGCTCCCAGCCCGGTCAGGGCCAGGTCCAAACGTGTTCCGACTTTGCTCCGCCGCAACCGACAAAACCGTGACAGCCCATTACGGACCAGGCGGACAGCGTCAGGCAGTACTCGTGTCGGCCCATGGGGGCTCAGGTGGGGATGCCATGTCAAAGGCACCTCTGGCTGATGGGGGTCGGGCAGGCAGGCAGGGTCAAAACAACCTGCGTCAAGCTGGTGGTAGGTCGGATGGGGTATCACAGTACAATCTGTGGTGAGATCATGAGGGGCCAGACAGATGATGTTCAACATTCTGTTTCAGGCTGACTAAGAAAAAATGGGTGATATCAGGCAACGTCTGCATCAGTGGTGACTGAACATCATGTGCCCACCACAACTCCATGGTCAAAAGACACAATGCTATTCTCACATTTCCTAGATTCCATTAACCATGAACTGGGGAGGGTGATTTTGAGCTTCAATCAATTGGTGTGACCACCATGAATTGTGACTGGGTCAAAGACCACATTTCTTATGCTGCAATGTCTACAAGATTTTATTTGCAAACTCAGTTTATGTCACAGTAAAAAAAAAATATTTGGACTTGTGACAACCCTGTAATACAATGTTTTTTGGCAAACCTAAAGACTAACAAACATCAAGGCATTTTGACCACTGATACAAGCTTAAGCATTTTTACTGATTAACAGGCTGATTTCTTTGATCACCAGAAGTATGCCCATAAATATAATAAGTGTCTAATATTCTTGTATTGTAACACACCCTTACATTTTGATTAGTCCACCTGAAGTGTCTGTGGGTTGGGTGTTAAAGAGGTTGCCTATCCACACACACATGATTTTTCAATAACCATGCAGGTGTCAGATCTTGTCATGCTTGTGCTTACAATTGGTTGTTATGGTCTCTTTTATTTGCAGTCATATCATATAACAACTATTCTACTGTAAATACTGAGGACCACAATAATGTTAATCACCTAGTCAACAGAAACTGGCAAATTTTTTTAACATTACTTGGCACAAAAACACCACTGGCTGCGTAGGTGGGTACGAAGTCAAAAGGCCAGACTGCAAAAAAGCCTGTTGCACTGAACATGAGCAGGATGGCCAATCATGGCAAAATTTCAGCTGCACATGTACAATGTAAATTTGACCAATTGCTACCAATTTAAGCATATACAAAAACCAATGTTGCCTGGAATCATGATGCTGCAAAAATGCTCAGAACATTTTTATTAAAACAGTACAAACATCTAACATAATCCACACCAAGTTTAAACAACATGCCAGCTTCCAGTTCGGTATACAGACATCACGAAGGCAACAGCACAAGGGTGGACTTTTTTTATGGACTGGTAAGTAGGCACTCACCCTTCTAGGGCACTTTGCACGCAACTTCAGCATGCACCCTCTTGATGACAGCTGAGTGTTCTGTTTTATCACCCCTATTACCAGCAATCACATTGGATGCCTTTAAGTATCACGATCAGTTCCAGAGTTCCAAGCAAACAATACTCGCACACCACCCACACCACCACCACATGGTCAAAAGCCTTAACTGACCCCCGGCTCAGGGTTCCTTCCTAGCCAGGCCCGCGTTACAGCACGTGCACTGACAGCGGCCAAATAGGGTCGCAGAACGCGATTTCCCCGGAAGTTATTGATTTACGAGCGTTTGTACCGTGCGGCCCTCCCTGAAACCACCCTGCGGCGCGCTGCTTGCTGTGACATGATCGCTCCATCAGCATAGTAAATAAGAAATTTTCCGAACGCCTCATATGCGGGATAGTTGTAGACGTATCTCTCGTCCTAAACAGCTGATAGTTTTGTTTCTCTTAATGTACCCCATCTCAAGAGCTTTTATAATAGGTCCTGGAATGGCTCGATATGCTCGCGATATTACGAACGTACTCGTTCTCAACTTAAGGCTCAAGTTACGCATCGGTGTACCATTGGACTTACCTAAAATGTTAATAGGACACTTGTCATCACGGGTGGACGCAGTTTTCAGCTCGTTTCGAGGATACATCCGGATCCAAACATTTCAAAAGAGTTCATAGGAATAAGCTTGGATAGGGGTAGGTGTAGGTATGTAGGTGCCTGCCAAGTTGGAAAGATATCAGCTACATGTGTAAAGCTCACAGCAATTTGATATTTACGTTTGGCCGAAATTGATACTGCAAGGCGCTCTGACTCGGTACTCAAAGGCATTTCCCTAGCATCAAGCTGTTTGACCCGCATGACCAAAAAGGTCTACTGTTGCCATCAACAGAGATGGCACCTTTGTCATCCACCCGACCCAGAATGAAGCACACGATTCTAAAAAATATACTGGAAATTGTCGTAGAACAAACAGATCGAAACTTACCGTAAAGTTATCATCGAACAATCAATTTCGACCAATGCATGTTTTCTCTTTAACACGACCACGATTTTATTACTGTTTTTTACGCGATGTAATTATTGTTTATTACACACGTTACTAGACCAAACAAACGCGGTCGGCCGCTAGGTGTAGGGTGGCGGTCGCCAAGCGACAAATAGTCGAACCAACCATCCCTAGGTGTCGAGTACAAACCGGGCCCGCGCCATTCACGGGACGGGCCCGCGCTCCTTCCCGCTTGTGCGTACGATACCGACCGCGAGCGGCAAGCGAGCCCCGCGCCGAGACGGGTGAAATACTCCACAACGATCCGTGCTGGCTAGGCAAACCCCAGCCCCTTTGATTTACTTGAGAATCGCTAGAAATGTAGAACACACGAGATGAAGTGGTCAATTCTTGTCCCCATCATCAGCTTTGAGATGGAAGGCTCGTCGGCCTACGTTGACGAGGCAGGAATATTCATATGTATCTGACGTGTTTTGTTTCTGTTGGTGAGATGCTCCTGCATTTTCCTCTTGTGGACCTCCTCCTCTCTCCTAATCGGCACGACTCCCGTCCCCGTCGCTTGACGAAAACCGTACTGAACTCCATATCTGACCATGTCCTATCCTATTTGAATGGGGCCCTACGCATCTGTCGGGGCCCCTCTGGCCCTCTGTTCACCCCTTCGGCCAAACTGGATTGTTCGGAGGCCCTGCACATTGGGTCTTGGTGTTTGAATTTAGGGCCTTGCGCTCCTTTCGGAGCCGTCTGATAACCTGCTCGGGTACGCTCCATGTTTCGAGGGCCCTCCACACTGAGTTTTGAGCACTTCTTATTTCAGTGGAGGGCCCCATGCTCTTGTCGCGGCCCCTTCTGATAGCTGCTCGGGCACATCCCATTGTTGGGGAACTTCTACGTCGGGTCTTGGGTACTTTCTATTTGAGTGGGGGGCCATGTGCTCTCAACGGGGCCTCCATCTGCTAACATGCTCTAGAGCACTGGATCATTCGGGGGCCCTCTTCATCGTGTCGTGGGTATTTCATATTTGAGCGGAAGGCCCTACGCTCTGTCGGCGGCCCATCTGTTAACCTGTCCGGTCACACTCGATTGTTCGGGGGCCCTCCACATTGTATCTTGAGACTTCCTATTTGAATGGATGGCCCTTCGCTCCTGTCGGCGGGCCCGTCCGTTCATCTCCTTTGAATTTAGGACCCTGCACTCCTGTCAGGGTCGTCTGATAATCTGCTCGGGTACACTCCATTTTCGGGGACCCTCTGCACAGGGTTCGGGTACTTCTTATTTGAATGGAGGGCGTTTGCTCTTGTCGGGCCTCTTCTGATAAGCTGCTGGAGTGCATCTTATCGTTCGGGGGATATTTCCATTAGGTCTTGAATGCTTCCTATTTGAATGGAGGGCCTTACGCTTTTGTTAAGAGCCCTATCTGTTAACCTGCTCAGACACACTCGGTCATTCGGGGGCCCTCTACATTGGGTCTTGGGGACTTGCTATTTGGATGGAGGGCCCTGCGATTTGTTGGGGGCCCTATATATACCTGCTCGTGAACTGGCCATGCGCTCTTGTTAGTGCCCCCATCCGTTACCAGCTCAGGCACACTCGATCATTCCGAGGCTCTCCATGCCTTGTTTTGGTTACTTCTTATTTGAAATGGATGACCCTATGTTGTTGGCGGGCCGCATCTATTAAGCCGCTCGGGCCGGTGGCGGATATAGACGGGGAGGGGAAGGTACGGGACCATGCACCCCATGAACCATGCCGCGGGGACTTACAGGTTCCAAATGAGCCCACAACCGGCCTAACGAACGCAGTTTTCTAACAAAACATTACACACAATGCAATTGGACTTTTTTGGTCACGCAGACGACCAAGCACGGTTGCTGGCAAAAGTTAGAAGTTCATAAGCAGACGGAGTTAATTCTTTGCTGATTGAGGATGTGTTGCCTGGGGACTACGTTGCCCTCCATCTCCTTGCATTTTATCGTAAGGACTAACGCTGTTAGTTGTCGTTGTGGGACACTATCTGGTTCCATGCCTGAGCACCTTTGATTGATCAGGTTTTTCTCCACGAGTTTTCCCGTTCTCCCAAAAGGCTCTGCACACTTTTTTCCGGGGCCTGAAATGCCAGGGTACACTCAGTCGCTTAAGGGCCCATCGTATTGGTATCGGGTTCTTTCCACTTGCTTGGTGGGCCTTGTGCTGTTGATGGAGCTTACATATGGTAAGGCACCGGGACACTCGAGGCTCAGGGCCCTCCACTTTGATTTAGAGGTCGTTCCCTTTGATTTCATTTTCGGAGGGCTCTTCACTCCTGTCAAGGCTCTTGCTGTCAACCTGCCCGGGTGCTCTCGATCGCACAGGGGTATTAATCCATGGTCTTGGGTAATTCCCCTTTGCTCAGGGGGTCCTGTGCTCTGGCCGGGGCCTTATATGTCAGCCTGGCGGGGCACTACCGGTCGTTTAGGGACACATGACGTTGGTCTTGGGTTCTTTTTGCTTGCTCTGAGGACCCTATACTTGTTGGCAGGAGCCTGTTTGTTCGCCTTCCGTGGCATCCATGATTGTCCAGGTTCCGTCTCTATTGGCATTGGTGCGTTAGCCTTAGATCAGTAGTCAGATATGCGCCGATGAATTTTTACGGGTAATTGTCGAACGTACTTTTACGTGCTGCCGACGTCGTATGTGTCGCTTCCTTTGGCTATTGATTGTGTGACTTTTTATACTTGTGCATCACGTTTTTAACATATTTTGAATGTTAGGATATTATGCACTCTCTCGTAACAAAGGAAGAATTCTACATTAGGTATCAGCCACTAGCTGATTACATCGTCTAGTCGGCTATCCGTAAATAAGTCGAAAATAAAGTTCGTTCTTGGTTTTGATGGTACTTAGCAGCCAACTTGAGGTTATTTTCCCTGTTTTTTTCCGAAAACATCTGGCTTTAAAAGCACGGGATTTAACATGATCTGTACAAAATGAGTGAGCTCCATGTATGTGCGTACGTAGCACGCATAGCTTTGCAGGGCAACGCTCAGTAAAATGAGTTCCCCTTTTATTAAACACACACGCACACACACACGCACACACACACATATATGTATATAATATAAATGTTTATACTATTTATCTGCAAATTAAATGACCGGAATGCAAGGATATTTCTAGCGGAGCCCCAAACTCTAGGGGGCCCCACAGTGTCTTCAGGCCTCCTCCCCTTGACGAAATCCTGGATCCACCCCTGCCTAATGGGCTTAAATAGAGTAAATTTAGACCTAGCAACCCAAGACCAATTGTGAGATCTCGGTGAGGCACATCGTTCGTTTTTTGCGAGGTTTCATCTTGTTAGCTTGCAAATGGCGGGTCGCGTTATACTCCCTCCCCATTCACTATTCGTTCGCGTTATGAAAAACGGCAAATCCAAACAAGGGCGCCAAAGCTGGCATCGTGATGCTGACGCTCAGCCCCGTCCGATGCCAATCAAGGTGAGATGTGACAGAATCAGATGTATAGAAGGCAAACATCACGTGTAAGACTCGAGACAAGTTGAGTTTGGGGCTGTGCGCAAAATTTGTATGGTCGCCCATTAAAATGGGCTTCAAAGTGATAGGTTTATGCTTACTTTGTCTTGGTCCGAAGAGTGAGTGATCATTCAACTCCAAAAAATGCACTTAGTGACCTTCAGCCTCCGGAAGTGTTTCTCTATAACATGCTCACTTGATTTGGTGTTTGGATTAGAGCCCTTTCGACCAGAAATAGTCAGTTCAGGGCTACGGGATAAAGGAAAATAGTTAACGGTGGGGCAGAACTGTGTGCGCCTGGGGGGCCAACCGTTGAGGTTTGACCCGTGCATGCGCGCTTGGTTCCCGGTCAGCGTCTCCCGTCCCATGGAGCTCCGGGCCCACTCGTGGCTGACGCATGCAGCCCGCCCCGGACAAGAGGGGTGTCGGAAGAATTCAGGATGAAGCAAAATAGAGGATAACAGAGACGGATGCACGCTCACTTAGGTTTGTGAAAGGCATAAGTGACTCCAAGCCTGCCAAAAGTCCCAACTGCGGGCCCTGTGGCAGGCTTCAGGAGAAAGAACGGCTGCGGCAGTAATACATTATTCAGTGAGGGTGAAGTGTTTATTTTTAGATGAAGCTGGCGTCGCATCCTTCAGTAAACTTATATTTTAAAGCGATTTACACTAGATCGAAAAGCACGGCCGTCCAACGGCAGTCTCCGCCGAGTCGTGGCCCCGCCGATGGCAGTGGCATCTGTGGGGAACATTTGGAACCACGCCGCCGCGGCAATTGCCGTTGGCGAGGACGGGCAGCGCAGCTGGCCTCGTCACTCGTCGGCGCTTGGATGCCAGCCGCCGGCGACGCAGAGGACTCAGCCTCTGGCAAGATGGCGGCCGGAACACCCGAGCGCGGCGGCCAAGGCCGCCGTCGGTGCGGCCGACGGCGGCGATAACTATTGTAGGTACACACATGAACACGACTACGCCTAGGATAGCAAAAGTACAAAACTGCAGCGCTCCCGTTCACAGTCCGAGCCGCCGTTCTGGCGTCAGAAGCTGGCGTGTGTCGGACTGATCACTCGGGCGGACCCCGCATCAGTACAGTCTCCGGCAGACCCCTCGACGGCGCAGCCCGCACGGTCGGTCGGGGGCGCCCCCTAGCCCTCGCGGTCCATCTGCCTCATCGGCGCGCACTCCTCCAGCTCCAGCTCTTGGCCGCGTCCGCCGCCGGCCGGGGGCACCCCTCGTCCTCCGCACGTCATCCCTCTCACTCTCACTGCCTGTCTGCTCGGGCGCCGGGGACGCGCCGCGGCGTCGACTGGGGCGGCAGGCCGGCCCGCCGCCGCGCCCGGCGCGCCCCGCCCGTGCTGGCGCGGGCCGTCACTGCTGATCGGCGCTGCGCGTCTGGCCGAACTCTGAGGCGGAGACGGAACGCAGGCTGCGCGAGCGCTCGAACAGCGACGGGTCCGTGTAGATGGGCTCGCTCGGGTCGTCGAACTTGCGGCCACGCGGCGCCGGCGGCCCGTCCACGTCGTATGCCGGGTTGGCGCTGCCCTGGGGGAAGCTGTGGCCCATCGGAGACGACCTGAGGAAGCATGACACCGGTTATAGCTATACTACACTTGACACTTTCCGGCACACCAGGAGAAAAGATTCCACAGAAGTGGCGGTCGACACATTTAATACATTTGTGATGGCTATTATTTCATAAATAAATCGAATTAACGGCAGCTAGCTCAGCGGCAGCCATGCCCATCACAGCACCGAGACTGCACTACCCACGCACCGTTTTCCGTGCAGGAAGGAGAATGTGTTCTTGCCGATGCCAGGAGCGGAGAAGGCTCGGGGCAGCGGCGAAGTCATATCGGCGTCTTGATTCTTGTAGGCGAGCAGGCGGCTGCGGCGGAACCAGAGGCCGGCCAGCACGGCGCCCAGCACCATCAGCACCATCAGGACCACCATGGTGGCCAGCAGACCGTAGTACTCGGCCGACGAGATGCAGACATCCTCTGGAACCTTCACCTCCTCGGCCACCAGCTCCTCCCGGGTGTAGAACACCTGCAGGTATAGCACAGGTGGGTTCAGCGTCAGCGCAGCCTTAACACAGCTGGCAGGGGTGTGTGGCGACGGCAGAGGCCCGGCATCCGGCCCATCCCTGCTGCGATGTTTACTCCGAGGACTCTCTGAAGATCGGACCCAACCCGCGCCGGCTGCGCGACAGAGACGACCAACCTCCTTCCACCCGTGCTACGAGAGTCGTGCAGGACCAGGCGCGCGTCCGTGGCCGGCTTTACTCACGCTCATCAGTCGCTTGACATACTCCTCGCTGTCCTTGGGGTCGATGTCGGGCCCGATCTCCTCATCCTGCGGCTCCACCGGCTCGTCGGCCGGGTCCGGCAGCGGCAGCTCCTCCGTGGCGTTCTCAGGCAGCGCGCGTCGCCGCCGCCGGCCGAACGACACCTCCTCGCGGCCGTCCACAGCGCAGGTGGCCTGCCACGGACCGGGAGGGCGAGGTCAGGCTCGAACGCGGACCTGGGCGGTACCGCTGACCTCTCGAACGGGTGCGAGATCTCTCTGAGAACTCAAGTACCGGCCTCAATCACATATGCAGGTGCTTGGCATTGACATGTGAGGTTACTGAGGTCAGCAGCGTTGTATTGCCCGTCCCAGCCACACTCGTGAACCCAACGGTCTCCGCCTCACACGTGTGCCGGTTTTCACCGCACACCACATCCACAACTGAGAGCCTGAGGCACAAACGGACGCAGACAGAGACTAGAAACTGCTAGAGACTAGCAGGCATACCATCTTAATACACGTCGGCGAGGTCGCATATCCAGCAACGTTCTCAAACCACACGTTGCCTCTTTGCTCTTCTCCACCCGGCACTCCGACCATTTCACTCAGGATCAACTCGACGTGACGTTTTGATAGCGACGACACTAACATCCACCACGCCAGTTTCCGACCGGTGGGGTGGCCGACGCATGCCGGAGGCGTACTCACCGGACGGCAGCGCTGGCGGCACGGGCGCACGGTCGCCTCGAACAGCAGGTAGTTGGACTGCGGAATCTTGAAGGCGCTGAAGCGAGCCTCCAGCCCGTTGCCGTCGCGGGACAGGTCCAGGCCGGGGAAGAGGCGTGGGTCTGTCGGACATCTGGGCAGACAAGCAGCCAGGGTCAGTTCGGTGGCCCGAAAACTAGGTCAGCTCATGTGTCCGTGCGCTCAGCACTGTCGATGTTCGACGGTGGCCGCGAATACATGTGATTCTGACGCGAGAAATCGATCTAGAATACCTGAACGCACTCTGACATGGAATCAATGCTGTCACACTTTCGCTCCGCCAAACCAGATTGCAGCTTCCTTCAAACATAGCGACATGGCGAGCTTGCTGCCGCCCTGGCGGTCAGTGGCGGCCCTGTCCTACACCCAAGCCCATCCCACAGGCTGCCCATCAGCCGCCCCGGTCGGTGGCGGCCCTGCCCGACACTCAAGCCCATCTCACAGTCTGCCCGCCAGCCGCCCCGGCCGCGCGCCGCCTACCCGTATCTGTCGATCAGCTCGACCGAGCGGCCCGAGTACGGGTCGCGCGCGATGACGTTGGTGGCGAAGATGTCGGTGACCAGGTTGGAGCCGGACTGAGTCTCCAGGCGGAAGGTGAGCGGGTCGCCGACGGCGATGGTCGTGGTCGGCCGGCCCTGGTACAGGATGGCCAGGCGCACGCGCGAGTCCAGCACCTCGCGCGCCGGCAGGTCGATGATGGGCGTCAGCTGGCCGGGGCTGCACGCGATGACGTCATGGGTCAGGCGAGCGCGACGCTGAGCAGCACGTGCGGCGTGACTCGAGACGAAGAGCTGGTTGTGCTGCGCGGCGCAGGCTTGGGCTGTTTTCAAGAGTTGCTCAAAACGGCTCGAATTAGCTTACGCCCGAGTCACATGGCCGACACTTTCAGCGTGTATTGTAGTCATAACGTGCTAAGATCTTGCCATTTTTGAATGTCTCAACACCGCTTGAGGCATCGCTGCTGGGATCAACATCCTATCTGTGCTAGAGCGCCACATAGACAAGATACCTCAATTAGGATTTAGCATTTCCATCGGTCAGAAAATGGCAGCGCAGTCGTTCGTTAGTTTACCCGCCGCGTGGTTTGACCACCTTGGAATTTCAGCTCAGCTCAGCCTTCCGACGCCTGCCTTCTCACCTGGCTGAGATATAACCGGATGTGACGACAGCCTCACCCGGCCCTTGAAAGTAGCAGGTCAGGTTGTAGCGCTTGTCGAAGTTGGTCTGCACGTACTCGCTGAACTGGACCACCACGATGTTCTGCATGACGTCTCCGAACTGCCGGGCATGCGTGACAGAGCTCAGGGCAGGCATTGGCACCGCACCCAAGCTCAAGGGGATACGCGTGCTCTAAACAACGCAGCGCCTCACGCGGCTCGGGAGTTGAAGCATGCACGCGCGCGTCGGGGCGTGTTTTATATGGTGTACTAATTAAAGGCCTTGTCATAATGGAGTGAGCTGCGCCTTCGCCATCGAGTTACTTAGAAAGGCATAGACTTTCTTGGAAAGACTCAAGGACACAGATATCACGGTCGTTACAACTAACCGCATTCCAATGGGCTGTAGATCACCTCGCATGGTAAGGCCGCGGCAATTTCTTCCCTCTTATCTGTGCTTTGCGTGGTTCGTACGGGCAAGACCGGCTGAATGGGCCGACAACACCTGACAGGCTGGAATATCCGTCCACCATTGGCCGCGGGCGCACTGTATGCGCGCTGCGAGCCAGTAGGAGCCGTCGGCCAGGGTTAGAGCACCTACCCTCTGCGTGCCGCAGGCAGGGAAGCCGCCGTCGGCGCTGATGCGAAGCGACATGACGCGGTCGCCGCGCCCCACCACGCTGCACTGGTCGTAGTGCCGGTACGTGTACATGCGGCCGTAGAAGGGCGCGTTGGCCTGCAGCGTCAGCTCCATGCCGTTCTCGTCACAGGTGGCGGTCACTGCGACGGCGGGGCAGGCACGGGCAGGGTCAGAAGCCGGCCCGGTGACCGAGACTCGCAGGCAGAGCTAGAGCTCCGGCCAGCGGGTTACCAACTGACATGGAGGCAGGGTGGGGGCTGAGGCAGACACGGGAACACAGACTGATCCGGGGTATGGTGACTAGCATTGTGACCGAGTAAGATTTAATTCAAAGCTAAGTCACGAAGGGGTCAGAAGTCAAAACCGGTATTGCGAAGTTTAGCGGCCGCCGGTCAGGATGAACACGTGGAGCACAGGATCTTTCTCTTTTTATCGATCCTTTTAAGCGGCGCAGCATGGATGCAGCTTAGCAGATAATAATTCAGTAATAATATGGCAGACAGTAATTAAATGTGCGATTATACGCACACGTGTATATATTCTTTCCTGCATAGGGTGGTCTTATAAGGCTTCACTGAAGCGCGGGTGTCTCACCATCTCCTCCGTCGGTGCTAATGAAGCCTTGTTCGGAGAAACCGCCGCCCCCGCCGACGAAGCCGCCCGGTCTGCCGATCCCGCCTCCGAAACCACCGCCGAGACCGTTCCCGCCTCCGAACCCGCCGCCGCCGCCGAACCCGCCGCCGCCGCCGAACCCACCGCCGCCGCCGAACCCGCCGCCGCCGCCAAACCCGCTGCCACCGCCGAACCCGCCGCCGCCGCCGCTGCCGCCGCTGAAGCTTCCACCACCGCCGCCGAATCCACTGCTGCTGCTGCTGCTGCCAGAGAAGCCGCTGCTGCCTGAGAAGCTGCCGCCACTTCCGCCAGACGGACCACCGATCTCGTGGTCAATGCAGTTCTCGATGCGCGAGCGGTCGTAGTAGTCGTAATCGCGGTCCATCTCGAAGTACCGGTCCTCGCTGCGCGAGTCGCGCGAGTCGAAGTTGCTCAGCTCGCAGTTGTCCAGAGAGGCGCTCGTTCCGGATGAGCTGCAACGGAATCGGCGAGCTTCGAGATACAAGGTGTAATTGGAAGGCAGCGATCATGTGTGAGTGTTGAGTTTTCGTGCGTTGTGCCTTTCATTCGCGCAGTGGCTGCACCTACATGAACTGGTCAGGAGTTGAGGAGTGAAATAAAAGCAAACATTCAATGTAACTGCTGCCCGTCAAGAAGTGGTCCGAAACTTAATTACTGTAGCTGTCACCAGATGAGGGCACGCTATCATTTACGCGATAGGATTGCCTATACAATAATTGATGTGCGTGGGCCATCCGCTCCCAGCTACTCTAGCATATAGCAGGTTTGATAAAGAACCAAGAGACCAAAGAAAATGAAACAGTCACTGCCACTCGGCTACCCCGCACCTGTATCTGTACGAGAAGGACTTGCAGACAAACTTCTTCGTGCGCACGCACTCTTCCTCGCACTGGCTGAGCGAGGAGACGGACAGCCGGTCACTGGTGTGCTCGGGCCTCAGGCGGCGGCCGGTCTCCTTCAGCGTGAAGCGGTCCTCGAAGCAGCTGCGCGCGCGGCTACCGAACCCGTCGCCGCCGAACCGACCGCCTCCGCCAAACCGGCCGCTGCCGAAGCCTCCGCCGCTGCCGCCGCCGCCGCCGCCGAAGCCGCCGCCGAAGCCGCCGCCGCCGAAGCGTCCGCCGCCGCCGAAGCCTCCGCGCCGGTCGTCGTAACGCCCCTCGTCGCCGTCGAAGGGAACGCGGCTGGAGCCGCCGAAGAAGCCACCGGAGCCGCCTGGTGGCCGCGAGGGAGGTCAGCGGGGAGGGGAGGGACGCCAAACGGGTCAGGTGCTCTCGGCGCCCCCAGTGTCCGCAGATCCGAAGCTGCGTGGAAAGCAAAGCTGCATGTTTATCAAAGCGGTTCTTCTACCACGGACGTGTGATTGCTCATATTCTCTTTATTTGATGAATTCAATAATCATAATTTAAGTTATTCATTCGAATAAGAACTTGGTCTCGCTGTAATCAAAGTAGTTTGTACTGTTTATGCACTTAGATGCTCCTATCAGGCAATATTCTAACATCTTTTCAGCAAACAGCGATGTGATGTTATGCGCAGACGGTTCAGACCAGCGCATATCACGGCTCATGCAGGCTCAAAATGCAATCATACCAAAAACGCCTTCAAGGTGCAGCATCAAGCATCAGCATGCAATCTCAGTTCATCAGGCTTCCCTATCCATGCTGTGGCGACCCAACGCCACGGTCGGAGCAGCCATCGGGAGCATTGCTGTCAGTCATGGACGGAGATGCGTTGCAGACGCGGTATGCTGACGTCGCAAACCGGGCAAACCGATCCGAAGATCCCGGAGAAGGCCAGCAGGATGCGGGGAGATGCAAGTCGATCCATCTACGTCTGCTCTGACTACGGAAAGAAATTCGTAAGAGCGAACTGCAGGAACGTCTAGCTACGCATCATCATGTCGGTAAAGCTGGAAAGCACGCCGGATTCAGAATGTGTCCTCAGCTACCCCCAGCAGGCTCAGTCGCCGCAGTTGGGCAGCCAGGCCCCGCCCTCTTGCGGCCGTCCCGCGCGGCCTCTCTACCGGCCTGGATCGCAAGGCTGGCACCAAGCCTGGGATACGAGCGTCTCCAGGCGCGCATGCGCTGTCCGCATGCAGCGTGTACCTAGCTGCCTGGCCGCCGGCGGTGCGTCGGCGGTCGGCCGCGAGCCGTTGGCCGCGCCACTCGGCCGCTGCAGTGCGGCCCCGTCCTGCTCCGGCAAGCTAGCGTCGCCCGATCCTGTCGAGGCCGCGTCCAAGCCGTCCCCGTCACCAGCGCGCGAGACAAACCGGTGCGCACCTGCGCCGCCGCGCCGGTCGTAGCTCCAGTCTTCCCAGCCACCTCCCTCGGAGATGACGCGGGACTTGCCGCCGCCCGGTCGGTACACGGTCGAGCCGCCTGACGCCCAGCCTCCTGCCGAACCACCACTCCATGAGCCTCTGCCGCCGCCGCTGCCGCCGCCGCCTCCGCCACCACTCCACCAGCCGCCGCCGCGACCGCCACCGCCACCGCCGCCGCCGCCGCCACCGCCACCGCCACCGCCACCGCCACCGCTCCAGCGGCCACCGCCGCCGCTCCAGGATCCGCCGCCGCCGCCGCCGCGCGGCGGGGCTGGACTGGCGTTCGGATCCTCGCCGCCCTCGCTGACCAGAATGACGGTCGGCTTGGGCGGAGGTGCATCAACCCCGATGGTGTTGTCGCCCGGTGCGCCACCGCCGCCTGCCGAGCCGCCGCCACCGCCGCCGCCGCCACCACCCCTGCCGCCGCCACCGCCCCCAAATGAACCGCGCGGACCGTCGCCGCCGGGCCCGCCAGCGCCGCCGCCGCCAAAGCCGCCCGCCGGCCGGGACTGGCCCCATCCGCCAGAGAAGCCGCCGCCGCTCCCGCCAAATGTACCTCTTGACTCATAATAACTGCCGCCGCCGCCTCGTCCTCCTTGGTAGTAGCCGCCGCCGCCTCCGCCGTAGCCGCCGCCGCCGCCGCCGCCGTAGCCGCCCCCGAAGCCGCCGCCACGGCCGCCACCGCCGCCGCCACGGCCGTCGCCGAAGTAAGTACCACCGCCGCCGCCGCCGTAGTAGCCGCCGCCGCCTCTTCCACTGCCACCGAAGCCGCCGCCGCCACCACCATAGTAGCCACCTCCGCCGCGGCCGCCACGACCAAAGAAGCCATCTGGAGAGGGGCAGTATGACGTCACGGGGCACGGTGACGCCACGGTGGTGCGCCCGTCCCTAACCAGTCCGGAGCCCGTATGTTTACAGCAGCCCGTCTCGACTGGAGTCTTTACTGCCCGGGGCGTTCTCTGTCCGGAGCATCGTTAGTCATGATTCCCCGTCATTGTATGATCTGTTTCTGCCACCAAAATCCACGGTCCGTGGAACCCAGTGGTGGCCCATGTCCGCTGGCAGCTGGTTCCAGTGACGCCACAGGTCGGAGAATCTCCTCTGCTACAGCCCGAGCACCATATGAGCTATCTCTCCTCAACGCACATGGACTAGGACAAATGGGTCACGTGGTGGCGGTCAATCACCCTGGGTCATGGCGTCACCTGACCGGACGGTTCGGTGTCCGATTTCAGGTCATGCTCCTCACGTGACATGTCCAATCGTGTCCTTTGACACCGACGCTCGTTACGCTGTGCTCCGCTCCATGGCGGGGATATGGACCGTCGTTCCGGTAAAAAACCGAAGAGATACGCAAAGTGCAGATCAGATTCGCCGCCCTGGAGGTGCCTACGCTCAGTATGCCTCGGTGCCAACCTTGAGCCATCCAGGTAGATTATATAAGCTCTTTTGGATCACATCAACGACATTTCTCCTTGTCATGTACCCGTAGAAATAATGCTGAAGAATTTGACGCATACCAGTGCAGTGGCTGCATGTGGTTTTGACTTTTGGTGTATTGCCTCATCTGTTTTGAACGTCTTTTTATGCAAAATAATTGTGTGGAATACGTGCCAGCATATCCAGCTCCTCGGCTTAGCGGCCAGGTCGTCTTCCCGGCTAACCTAACCTTATTCCACAAATGGATTTAGTCACAAATTTGGGACATTGTACGCTGCCTTCGGACACAACTTTATAAAACTCAAGAAAGTTTGTCCCACAGGTGAAGTATGCACCTCGGTTTTGGCTATAGCCCAATTATGTTGCCTCACTCGTTTAAACGCAAGGTTGACGTAAGCAAAGCATTGCAGCTCAAGCGCCAGTTGTGTCACTAATGGATGCAGCAATCCGGTCTGGGATGGGGCAGACCGTGCTGTCAAATTATGTATATATATATATATATATATATATATATATATATATATATATATATGAGTGTGTGTGTGTGTGTGTGTCAGGTTCTTTAAAATTGCAACAGATGCTTCCTTCTTTCCTTCGTGTACTTTTCAGTGGATTTCTGCTTTTAACAAAATAGCCCCTTGGCGACCTAACAGACTAAATGGTCGGGACACCGACTCATGCAAACCGCGCAAGTCACTGAACCACATGCGGTACTGAGAAGTGTGTGACGAGGGGCCATGGCTGAATGTCTGCACTCACAGCACGGGAACTTATCGAATATTTGGCCAGTTTCGTCTGAAAGTAGATATGAAAAAGATGAGGACCATGCTGGGAAACTTAAGTGCACGTGCTTTGTTGTCACAGGTCATTCATTGCCGTAACACTAAGCCACTCAATAGTTGCATTGGACTAAATGGCATTCGCAATAGATGACTGGACAAAAAAAAAAAAAACAGTTGAAGCGTGCGGTGCAGCTTTGACTTGCATTCCCTGAGGCAAACTGTCTGTTTTTCGTGTTTGTAACCGGATGCAGCTGTTGGCATTAATGAAGAACAAAATATGTTTAACAACTCAAGTCATTCCGTGCCAAAATCTAACCCATCACTTTCCCTCCGACAATCCAGTGATTACATAGGAGCCAGACTGCGATAGTGATGAAAGAAAGACTGGTAGATGTGACTTGCCTCCAAGCAGGTTCTCGTAGTAATTGTAGTCATCGTGGTAGACCAGTCGAGCGCCGCCCATGCCGTCCTTCTGGTGGTACAGCTCGCACATGGAGAACCGCTTGCTGTACGTCATGGCTTGGCAGCTGCCGGCCATGAAGGAGACCAGAGTCAGCGTCCAGTCTGATCCATCCGCGCACGAAACTCACTACACCTCTCCTTTCGTGCTTTCAAGGCAAATCCAAAGGCATAAATAAAGTTTAAGCTCATGTAATTTCAAGCTTTCAATCCTCGAGCTTCTCTAGTATCCAACAAGATATAAGTGACAATGGCGTACCATTTAACATCCAGTTCCATCAGCTCGGATAAAAAGCAATGGGCCGGTGGCGGACGATAATAAGAATGCCTCTACTTCAGAAACAGCGCCGTCGCACTCGATGCAGCCAGCGGGCCGGCCGCCTGCCCTGCTGGCGTGGAGCTAGCCCACTCACCCTGGCGTCTGGAGGCAGGCCAGCATGCACATCCTGTCAGAGGTGTCGGGCAGCTGGGTGATCACCTGGGCACCCTCCAGACGGTTGCGGCTGTACCGGCGGAACGCCGTCACGTACTCGCGGTCCGCCTCCCGGTGCAGGCCCTCTCTGGGGTGGGTGGGCACGCGGGTCAGGTCAGGCACGGACAGATTAGGGCAGGTCAGATTAGAGAGGTGGACTCACTCTGATGTGGAAATGTCTACGGGGTTTTGAGTGTGTGTGACAGCGCTTTCTTACCAAAATTGAGTAAGACGCATGCGAGGTTTAGGGTTGAAATATCACTGGATTGGAACTACAACAGGAGGGGGCGATCAGCCTGGTGACTCGAGACACATACACTGCCGACACCGGCTACAGTTTTGAGACGGCGAGCGACTGGCTGCTCAGATACCGGCGATGCCGTCGCCCCTGCGCCGGGCAGGCCGAGACGCACCTGAAGAAGACCTGGTCGTCGCCGCCGGGTGCCGGTCGCCGCCCGTCGGCGCCGTCGCCGTCGGCGTTCCGTCCCGCCCCGGTTCGGTCCGACAGCTGCTGTATCACTGCAGGAGAGGACGGCCGCCGTCACCGTCACGCAGCGGAAGGCGCACCTGCCACTGATACCCGCCGAAGACTACACACATACACAAACACACACACACACACAAAGTTAGAGCGAGAGAGGGGGGAGAGAGAGGGCAGGGAGAGAGAGAGAGAGAGAGGGGGGAGAGAGAGAGAGGGAGAGAGAGAGAGAGAAAGGGAGAGAGAGAGAGAGGAGAGAGAGAGGAGAGAGAGAGAGAGAGAGGGGGGGGGAGAGAGAGAGACAGAGAGACCGTGTGACCACTCTTTGTACACAGGAGCCGATCTTACACCTGGCAGACACAAATCAGATACCGACCGGACACTGTTTACATGTCGGCCAATGGCTGGCCAGGGCCAGTTATCCTACAAGTATCAATAGTTTTAAATACCACGCCTACAGATTTTTTGCGTAATACCATACATCTCCGTGGTTTATGCTGAAAATGCACCCCAGCCACCGACGACTCGACCTCATCATCTGGCAGTGCCGCGGCTGGCCAGCAGCTGACAGTGCCGCAGCTGGCAGCGCCGCAGCTGGCCAGCGGCCAACGGTACCGCAGCTGGCCAGCAGCCGACAGCCCTCGCTCAGTCTCCCCGGAAGTGGCGACTCCTCACCGTGGTCGAGACACATGAGCTCCATGAGGTTGGTGTCGTCGCGGCTGTCAGCGCCCCGCGTCTCTGGCGACACGCTCAGACTGTCGTCCTCCAGCAGGTAGCAGTCGCCCGTCTCGTTGGTCAGTGGCTTGTACTCCAGCGCCCGGCAGAAGATCCTGGCGGGGGGGGGGGGGGGGAGTGCGCGTCAGTGCCTCGCACTCGTCCTGAGCGATCAGTCAAGCAGCATGTTTAATTTGGTTCGCCTTTTTAGCGCTTAGTCGTTCTGGCGCAATTGTAAGATGTGGGTGACGGCTCGCATTACCTTCGCGCTCCTACAATACGCTTCGTTGCATTCCAGATGTGTAACACATATCTTTGTATTCCTGTTTGATCTTTCAAAAAATATACATTCACTTAAAAAGGTGTTCAGACCACTGAAACCATACTTTGTAAGCAAAGAAGCGCACTGATCTTTGAAAATAAGTGCAGTAAGACCACTATGCCTCAAAGCAAATGCACAATTTCTTATAAGCTTGTTAAACATTTCTGCTTCATCGTAGGGTACTGGCGGTGCGGGCAGCTCCACTCACTGCTGGTGCTCGGCGCACTGCCTCTTGCACTCCTTGACCGAGAGGTCGCGGACGCGCGTGGGCTTGTTGGGCGTGCGGAGCGAGCGGTTGGCCTCCTCGACGAAGATGAGGTGGTCGGGGCCGCTCGCACCGGCGCGACTCTGTGATGGACACGGCTGGTCAGGGTGAGCGGCGTTAGCATCAGGAAGTGGAGGCGGGGCGACGGCGGGCGACGGCGCCGCACGCGGAGACGGCCAAGAGAAGCGGAACGAATGCGAGGCAGCCAACGGAGCGGGCAAGAACGGAACAGAACAAGCCGGTGGCTGGCGCTAACCAAACACAAGTGAGGGCGGAAAAGAATACGAGTGCAGACACAGCAAAACGTAGGCATGCGGGCTTGCTTGTTAAAAAGGCACGGTAAGCAGAGCACGCAACACATAGTAATGATTATGTACAATGAGAGTACTAAGCGATGAGGACACAGCAAACTCATTCATAAACCCACGGTTGAAAGGCATAACGTTCTCCCATTATTGTTTACCGTTTTTTACGCGTCCCATGAGGAATGATCATGTCTACAATCACTACACGTATGCACTAATAGCCTGCTAATAAATAACAATGCACTTAACCACACCTATTTACGTTGGGCAGCAGCATGAAGAAGTAAAAGTGTGCCACATATTTTTCATTCGCAAGCTGCGGGTACGAAGCATACCTCATAATTTGGGTTACCTGTTAATATTAAGGCACTGCGATGCATCACTTTATCTCATAATCTTGACTAGCCAGGTAAAGAGGCGCAATCTGCCGAGTAGTTAATGCCTTCGGCACACACATGGGGGCCCGGGTTTATATCCCCGTTACGCCATGGCCCCTGAGCGCTACTATGCATAGCCTACGGGAGGCCTTTGCGGTCGCTACCGCTCCATGACAGGGTGCGCGAAAACGTGCGTCGTGCTCCTGTACAAATATTTACCAGGTGAGAGCTCACCAGTTTACCATCTACCAGAAACAGTGGCATCACTCCACTGTGCTGGTGCACTCGCCCTAACTAAACCACTCTACTCCTGGTGAGCTGTCGGGTACTCACTCTCAAGGCACATGTTCTCGATGTACTCCTCGCCGGCCTTATCGACAAAGAGCGCCGGGGCGGAGCGCCACGTGATCGGGCACATGAAGCAGGTCTGGTTGACAGAGTTGTACGAGGCCGACCGGCACACCTCGTCCTCAGAGTTCAGACACCTGCGGCCACACACACCTTGTCCTCAGAGCTCAGACACCTGCGGCTCCAGACACCTCGTCCTCAGAGTTCAGACACCTGTGGCCACACACACCCCGTCCTCAGAGTTCAGACACCTGCGGCCACACACAACTCGTCCTCAGAGTTCAGACACCCGTGGTCACACACACCCCGTCCTCAGAGCTCAGACACCTGCGGCCACACACACCTCGTCCTCAGAGCTCAGACACCTGCGGCCACACACACCTCGTCTTTAGAGTTCAGACACCTGCGGCCACACACACCTCGTCCTCAGAGTTCAGACACCTGCGGCCCCAGACACCTCGTCCTCAGAGCTCAGACACCTGGGGCCACACACACCTCGTCCTCAGAGTTCAGACACCTGTAGCCACACACACCTCGTCCTCAGAGTTCAGACACCTGCGGCCCCAGACACCTCGTCCTCAGAGTTCAGACACCTGTAGCCACACACACCCCGTCCTCAGAGTTCAGACACCTGCGGCCACACACAACTCGTCCTCAGAGTTCAGACACCTGTGGTCACACACACCCCGTCCTCAGAGTTCAGACACCTGCGGCCCCAGACACCTTGTCCTCAGAGTTCAGACACCTGTGGTCACACACACCCCGTCCTCAGAGTTCAGACACCTGTAGCCACACACACCCCGTCCTCAGAGTTCAGACACCTGTGGCCACACACACCCCGTCCTCAGAGTTCAGACACCTGCGGCCACACGCACCTCGTCCTCAGAGTTCAGACACCTGTGGTCACACACACCTCGTCTTTAGAGTTCAGACACCTGCGGCCACACAAAGCGGTCGACTTGATACACGCTGGGCTGCTGCTGATGTAAAAAAGCTATCTTGAGAACCCCTTGAGTCTCAAGACTCTCACCTGAAATTTAAACCTGAGTGCATTTAAATCGCGTTGAAAGTATGATCATGTTGCAGGTGGCAGCGCTGTGATCGTAGAGCTATCCAGTTTTTTAATTCGCATCTTATGGTCAACGGCAAAATATCTTAACACGCGCTCGAGTGGGGTTCAACGTGAAAAATGAATGGCAGATCTTCTGATGCAACAAAATTAAATTTAACTTGTTAGGCTGCTGACCTTTGGGAGGTCAAAGTCAGGCCATGTCTGTGAGCGAAGAGCATTTCTAAGGAATCGGTCTATGTGATGCAACAACGGAGTGTTAGACAAAGCCATACCTATCTGAAAGTCTTTTAGACAACAAACCAATTAAAGATATAATAACAAAAACTAATTGACCTAGGGTCAGGTATGAAGGTTACACCGAGGCCAAAACTAGCCTGCCTTTTTACTCAAGGGCTTGGCTTTGTGGGATAGTTTCTGTTGCTCATTTTCAATCTCTGAATGACAGGCACCGAAACAGAATGTTCCATGGACTTTTTAAAGGTCAGAGTAGGTCACTGACCTAAAATGACTGAGGTCAACATCTAGGCCTGGGAGCACTTAAGACACCAATCTGGAGTTTGACCTTGTTTACATTATCTGACCACAAGGTCATGACCTAGGAACTTTAAATTTTGATTCAAATGAGTTTACGTACAGGCCAATCCACCCTGTGAATTTTGTGTCTCTTGGTATTTTAGTTTGTTAGGTCTCAGGGGTCAAGCTGACCCTCATCCGAGCAAAGAATATTGAACCGGCTACCCAGGTGCGTGTTAATCAAAATCATTCCTCGTCAAGTTTGGTTGAAGCTTGCCGTTCCTTACAAACAAGGCTGTACTCGGCGTCCTCTTGTTAATAACATCGCATCATCTACTAGTTAAACCATCGAGATTTTTAACGGACGGCTGAAATCATCTTCTGGCCGTCATACAAGCCTACCCGATTCAGAATAGCCGTCGATATTGGGCTAAAAGTCCATAATTCTTTAGTCTTTTTTGCAGCATTCTGTAAAGAGAGTTACACCGCTGCGCTGGTGTGAGTACGACGCCAGTCACTGCCGGTATGGCGGTAGTTGTCCTGCCGCGGTCTGGCAGCGCGCCCCGGTGGGTCCAGTGGACCAGGTGGGAGTCGCCCGGTGGGCCCAGTGGCCCAGGGGACTCAGGCGACTCAGGTGACTCACATGCGCTCGCACGTCAGCCGGTCCTCGACTCGTCGCTCGGTGCAGTTGTTCCGCTGGGGTCGGAAGCTCTTCTCCAGATGACGCTCGAAGACGTACATCCGCTCGGGACAGTGTCGGCTGATGGGCTGAGCTGGAGAGGGGGGGGGCGAGAGGTCAGACACAGACGAAACTGGGTCACATGCTCCCAACTCGATAGCGTCGAGCGCACAAAAAAACAAGACGCGTCACTTGGAAAACGCCACGCACTTGCGAACAGCTAATGCTTAGCAGACGTAACCTTTAAGAATGGGATAATTCCTTAGACAATCGTCCTTGTCTGGTGTGTGAGTACGCAAGCAACGCTCAGGCCTTCTGATTATCTGACCGTTGTCTGAGAGCACTACTGTTAGACCACCGGGTCCTCCCGACAGCACTGCCTGAAATGCAAACTAGTCGGGTACATTTTTCCGCACCAAAATTCCCAAAAAGCTTGTAGGCACCAGTTAAATAGCACATTTGCCGCGAGTGTATTGCCTGTGTGATCGGGCTTCCACTCACAGGGCATGCAGACTTTGTTGAAGTGGATGTAACCAGGCACGCGGACGAAGGTGCCGATGCCGTCTGGGGTCGCCTTCTCTTCCGTCAGGTAGCACATAGACGAGTCGTACTGGCCATTGCCGTACGGTTCGCCTGGGGACAGAGACGTGTTGGCTTGAAGGCGACGAGGGACATGTATGGTTACCATGCGACATAGCTCCAAGGGCTATGTCGTATGGTACTTCGAGCTGGGTGGGTCAGTTACCCTTGACAGTTTTAATTATCTGTGGTTTAGCGACGCTGCCAGCATCTGAGGACGTTGAGAGTCGTGACCTATCACGCCGACTGGCAGACGCCGATGAAACTTTTGGCTGGCGGCTAGGTTTGAACCCACGGTCCCTCGCACACGGCAGTGCACGAGAGCCCTATCACATCGGCCGGCCTGTCCGCTTCTTGCTTTTTGAGTGTGATGATGTGCTGTGGGTCTTAGCTCGGCCCAGGTCATCCGAGGTCATCCGAGCGGTGCCCAGCAAGCGTCAGCTGAGCGCAGGCGGCTCTCCCGCACCGCTCGTGATGAGGGTCCCGCTTACCGGGGTGGAAGTCGATCGATCCGCAGGGTCGCAGCAGGTTGTTTTGGATCGTTAGGTCCTTCAGGCATGCGCGCTGACATTCCTCGAGCAGTTGTAGCGGCAGCACAGACTTCGTCGACTGCAACAGCCGGCAATAAACGGCTGATTTGCGCCCACTCAGCAGACACGTTCCAACGTGAGTTGGCAGAGCGCAAACACCACTCCAAGACGGGGCTGGAGCTAATGTGTGTGATTTGGTTGGTTGGCACTGAACGAATGGATTAGTGGTTACCACTTTGTCGTAAGTTTATGGGAAGTAGCTCGAACTATTTTTAGACAGACGGCAAAACAATGGAGTGGAGAGGCTTTGTTATTTTAGCGGTTGAGTGATTATGAAGGGTGAGCTGCGGAACAAACTGCAGAAAAGCTCCCTCCGGAGCGTGACATACTCGGAATAATAATCATACGATTATGCAGCAGTAACACGCACTTTTGAGGTCGTGTTCGTCACATGCGGCCGATGGTCCCACCTGGTCCTGGTCGTATCCCTGCAGTTGGTATCCTGGTATCCTTTCGTAGACAAGCTGGCCCTTGCCGTTGTCGCAAGTGGCAATCTCTGTAGTTGCAGCTGCAACGAAAATAGCGTCTGAGTCCAGTTCCCATGACAGACTTTGTCTTCATCACTATGCAGCCTATCATGCTTATCCATTATGCATTCCACGTTACTGCCTCATTATGACCCATAACGTGACCAGCATTCCTTGATTTTAGTCGGATTTGTAATGGTCCCAGAAAACAAGCAGTGTTCACTAGAGCCATGATGGAATGTAATTCTAAGTTAAAATATGTTCGAATTGTATCAAGACCAACATAATTTTCCAAACCAGAATGATTCTGGAGTGTGATTCATTTCCAGTTGTCTTAACTTATTACTTACACGTGACGATTACGCATATCGGAGTAATTTTATCCAGGTGAATCCAAATCAGTGTAGTACAAATAAATAGATATTCATATAATCCAATATTGTGTATCATGGTATATATATATATATATATATATATATCGCTTATATACATAAGCGTATACATATATATATATATATATATATATATATATGTGCTCTGATTGGACAGGACTACATTCAGAATTGACACGAATCAAACAGATCCTGGTGAACAACGGTTTTTCAAATTCTGACATTGAAAACGAGACACAACGACATATGACAAGACACTTTGACAGCAAACCAAGGCAAGACATCCAACCGACCGTCAAACTGTACCATCAAAATCAAATGACATCTGCTCACAAACAGGATGAAAAAGCTTTATGGGAAATTATCTCTCAACATGTTAAAGGCAAAAACGACCACAAAATGGACATTGTCATTTACTATTGTAATAAGAAGATATCGAACTTTCTTATGAGAAACAGCCCAGACAAACACGACAAACTGAAATGCACCAATGTAGTGTATCAATTCCAATGCAACATGGAAGGCTGCAGACTTCGTCCCACACACTACATTGGTGTGACCACAACGACACTCTCACGACGCCTGACAATGCACTTACGTGACGGGGCACCTCTGGACCACATGCGACAGGAACACGACATGACATTGACACGACAACAACTGACAGACAGCACTGACATTTTACGGACGTGCAGTGACAGAAGACGCCTTCAAATTTGGGAAAGCATATTCATTAACGAACTCTCTCCGGCCTTAAACAGACAGACAAATTCTTGCAGAACTCTTGAGCTACTAGGTGGTGGGCGGCGAGCACTTCTGATGTGATTGTGACAATAGTGTTCCCATTGTGTCTTTGTGATGTTCCCATTATGAGTGTTTCTTACATGTATGAAGATGATATGAATAGCAATCCGTCTTACTTCAATTAGTTGTGCTTCATTTATGTTCTCCGTACTAAAAGATGTTTTCCAACAGTAGTGCACAATTTTTCATTCTTTAAAACTCAAAACTGATTTCTTGTGCAATTTAGTCTTCTCCGAAGATGAGATAAGATCTCGAAACGTTAGAATGGAAGGAGTGATGAATATATGAGTAATTTTGTGCGAACCGTCTTTAATCTAAGCGATGACGCAAAGTCAAAGGCCCGGAAACTAGAACGATGCATCAAAAGGCTCGTTAATGCTGAGTCAGCAGTTATTTTTAATCAAGCATGCATCAAAGAAAGAATTCTGCCAAAATATTTCAACATATATATATATATATATGTCGCTTATATATATCGCTTATATATATATATATATATATATATATATATAAGCGATCATCCGCAATCCGGTCCCGTTCGCGCAGGGCATGGCTGTACGTCAGAGTCGTTAGAGCGGCAATCACGGATGGAATAACTGTTGGACTATCGTCCGCGTTTGGTAACTGCTGTGAACGCACAGGTTCTACCAGTTCACTCCCGGCCGTGGTCCCATGTTGTTGAGTCCTGGTACGGAGTGGATGGTGCTCGGGTTTTGGTCGTGTACGCGTCACAACCCAATTTTTCTCCTTGGAATTCCTGGGGTCTGAACCGGCGTTTTATTACGGGATGACAATCAGTCGACGGACATGATCGAGTTCGAGATGCGTGCTCCTGGAGACTGCAGAGCGGCATGCGCAGGCATCCTCGGAGACCGCGCCACTGCCCCGCCGCTAACTTTTCAGAAAGGATCGCAGCCGAACTTCTAACTTCAGGATAGCCACAGCTTAAAAAGGTCGGTAGTCCGATGCGAACGACACTCAGGAATAAACAAATGTTACTAGCTTAACAGGAAAGCGATAATATTTTCCGTTTGACTGAGGCGGTCTGGTGTGAATTATTGCCGAAACACTTCCGTTTTATGTGAACAAAAGTCACTGCATAGCAGGCATCAGGGCTCGATCATTAAAGAGTAGTTATAGGGGAGATCGTGCAGCACCAAAGTCCACCAACAAATACCGTATATCTGAGTCATCAAATAGATATGAGCTGCCCGACAAGATTCGTCTTATTCGATGGTGTTGTAACGAGTGACATCCATTTAAATGCATAGTGCCAAGCCTTTTCTCAGGTAGCAGTTCGGACGTAATGTCGTCACTGTTGAGAAGCATAAGCGGCGCTGGCACCAGCCTGGTATACCTTTGCGGGCTGACGGAACCTCGGGCCCAGTCGTGTTGGCCGGCACAGTGAGATTCATCGCAGCGCTCAGCAGAGCAATGGTCGGCGACCAGATCATCATGATGACGTCACAGCTTCAGCGCCGTCCCAGGGTCGTTTGCACTCGACGCAGCCAGCCGTGCAAAGTTCCCCGTCAAACAGCCCCAGTCATGCCGCTAACGAGCCCAGCGCATACCGGGGCAGGGCCCGACACCAGGCAGCGAGGGTACGCCGCGGGTCACCGCCACCGGGCTCTGCCGGCCACCGTCACCCCTGCTGCCGGGAGCCGGCGCCGCTCCGCCGCCTTCTCCAGCCGTAGCCGCCGCCCCGCCCGCGTCCGCCGCCGCCGCCGCCACAAGCGCCGGCCAACACCGCTCAACACCGTCACAGGCACCGCACCGCAGCGCGCGCGGCAGCCGACGCGCCGTCCGTCCTACCCGCTCCGCTCGGTCGGACAGCGGCGGATCGGTGGCCGGCCCGCGAGCCAATCTGGCGCGCCCCACCCAGCACCGATCATTTGGCGCGCCCGCCGCCGCCCGCGCCACGTGACTTCCGATTGGCGCGCCCGGGCGCGCGCAAAACTCGCCGACGCGTCGCGGCACGTAGCGTAGCAGGGGATGCGCCGAAAAAAGCGCCTCAGCGTGCGTGACGGACGGTGGAGCGGTGGGGCCCGCTGCGCGCCGGCGAGCGAGGCCGTGCAGAGGGGAGAGAGAGGCGCAGATACCGATTCGAAAACGTGGTGGTCAGGGCGGGGGACGGGCAGAGAGACCAAACTCAACTTCTCGTTATTCGTCCCACACCTGTTTTTTTGCAAGGCAGTCGTATTTTTCGTCAGATTTTACGCTGCATTTCATGTCGCGACTAGCGCGGTGCTGGCCAAGCGATTTTCTGAGAACTTCTCCTACGGCACCAGAATATTGGTATAAATCTAAGCGGTCATGAATTGTCCAACACAAGCGCATGAACCTGACCCTGATTTTTTGCCGGTGATTGGTGTTGCATGATAAAAGCCAAATCATTCTGCCCATTCCAGATGCCCCTATCGCGTGACCATGTTTTTTAGTAAAACTTGTTGCCAGGATACACGAAGGGAAGACCGGACTGGAAGCGTCTGACATTTGTCTCACAGCTTCAAATTAGAACATTTTTCGAAATTTTCGAATACCATCCAGGAGAAAAAGATCAATATCCTTACGATGCGCGCAAATATCTTAACTTACCTAACCAATATTGCTCATCGGATGTCAAAGCTCACCCCGAGACACGGACTGCTTGCATTCATCGCGAGAATCGGATGCAACATAAAACATGCCGCAAAGACCGAGCAAAAATAGCATACAATATCTATTTTGCAAAGCGGACATAGTCTGATATGAACTGACACAGCTGTTTTTTTTTCAAAATACGCGCGCCACATATATTATCAACCCCGTCCAATCTTGTGTAGGTGCTATTCATAATCTTTGGGTGCAGGAAAACTGCTTGGAAAGCAGCAATGTCCTCGATGATGTTCAGTCTTGCTCCATTTTCGCTGATGGCAGGCTATCAGTGACCCAATCCGACCGACGGAAGTGATGCAAGCAACCATCAGGGACTCTCACGCACCTGAACACATGCAAATCGTGTCCCATATTCAAACGCAAGCGCGGAAGTGATGCATCTTGAGCTCATTGGTAAACGAGCGCATGATTTAGTATATTCAGGTATGGCATGCACTCAATAGTGACAAGCTGACGCAAAGGGCACAGGGGTTAAAATATTGCGTTACAAGGAACAATGCATCTGATCTCTATGCGCGTAATGAGAGAGGAATTCCATTTGGACTGTTCCTCGGAGGTTGTTTTCTTGGGCATACCTTTCGAGGCATTGACATAAATGTAACAATCATTATCTAACTAGGCCGGTCTACCGTGCGATATGTTATTTAACTAGGCCGGTCTACCGTGCGATATGTTATTTAACTAGGCCGGTCTACCGTGCGACGCGTTATCTAACTATGCCGGTCTATCGTGCGATATGTTATCGTACGATTTTGGCGACCAAAATTGTTTCTGACAAGTTCCTCAAAGCTGGGTGTTGCTGCCTGCGAAACGGCGCCTCCGAGTAATCCAGATGAATTCGTACTAAATGGAGAGATATATTCACTCTGAGTGGTTTCAAATTGCTCGCGGATTTTTTGCAGCAAGTAAAAATATGAATCGTTGAGACATGCATGCATATGTCGCAACCGCAGACGTGACGCATATTCATGCATTGTTGAGAGCGCTGAGCATGATGATGATAGTGGGATTTCAGTGGAGAAACCGGTAGCATGCAATCATGATTCATAGCTTGCGATTATTTTCGCCGCCCACTCCCGCGTTTGGATACAGTATTTCTAGAAAGGTTTTGCTTAAAGATGACCTCTTTTGAAGGTTGGCGTTGGTTGGACTTGGAAGGAACTTTGAAAAACTCCATACGCCCAACAGATGTTAAGGTATGTATGTTCTCAGTAAATATGAAGATTGATGAAGTGCGTAACAGAAAACCACGCCTTTGGAAGAGTCACCTTTTCTTTTGGATATTGTCACAGGCGTATCAGAAAGAGCTTTTCCATTCATTTTCCAACTTCCGTGAGTATCGTTTTTAATTATTTTGTGCAGCATCATACGCGTAATGACAGCCACCGTAAAATTTAAGAGGTGTTTTCGTCTCATACGTGTTCTATGGTGGCGAGAGAAAACACACACATGAAGGCCTCCGTCAGAATAATCGAAGCGACATTTTTCTTTCCAAAAAGATCTGCTGCGCTTTCAGGGTGCATATGTCCCCACTGGAAAACGCAAACGCTACGAACAGCCCCATGTTCAAATGGTCCGTGCATTTCTACGCGGTGACACCTTTCATGAGCTGCCAGGCCATGATAATCTGCCGTTGCTGATAATCATTGGGCCCTGGCCTGGTTAGCGGTCCCTCCCTACGCCATTACATCCAAATCGGGCATTTGTCTAACCAGTTCTCGATTGGTCTAACCAATGCCGACTGTGAGGCCGCGGACTGTTTTGCGCTACGTTCGTCCAAAGTAGGTCAAATCCGGTGAAATCAGTGGCACGCAACAATCCGACGTAATCTTTACCGCAAATAATCCGCCAGAGACCTGGATGTCCACCGACTGTGACGTTTGCATATCGTACGATATAGACATATGCTTTACTTGCAATAAGCAGGGGACGGCAACATTGCCACTGAGCCGGAACTATGGCGAGATTGGCTGAATAAACGGCTTGAGCTGAAGGTGTGGTGCCCGGGTCGATACGGGAGAGCTGGTCTGTTGTACGGTGCCATTTTCTCAGCAAGTGCCCTGGACTTAACCTCTCAAGTCAAACTATACCACTCCAAAGCACCCGAGCGCCTCTGAAACATCTCTGCATCCGGGATCTCGCGGCACACGCGCAGCCTCAGCTCGTCTCTCACGTCCGCGTCCGGCCGATTATTGAGTCTGACGCGGGCAAAGCCTGCCCGACTATCGAATGACGCCGGCCGGGCCGGGCCGCACCACTTTTGGCGCGGCGGCGATTAGTGGCGGGCGGTGATGCCGTTATCCGCCGCGGCCCACCGGAAGCCGCGCGGACACTTCCTGTGCCGCGCCCGCCACGCCCGCCGGGCGGCGGGCGCGCGGCGGGCGCGGCGCGACAGAGCCCGCGCCCACCCGGACGCGGCCGGTCCGCCGCCGCCGACGGCAGGGCGGCGAGGCGCGGCAACGGGAGGTCCGGCTCCGTCGGAGGGGTGCTTCCGGCTGTGGAGCGGAGCTGATCCCAGGCATTGCTCAGTTGTGAACGGAAGGCCGCCATGCTTTGAGATCGCATTAACAGATTTAACAGAGTTTAAAGCATTTCAATTTTATTCAAGTATTTTATTCAAGTGTTCTAACAGCGGAAAAGTATTGTAATGACAGAAATGAAAGGGCGTCCATCCTAAAGCACCTGAATCAAGAACCACCTTAATCTATTTGATCGAATGCATTTTTGTCAGGCGTGTGGTTGCTACCAAGCCTCCGGGAGGGCCAAGTTGCAGGCCGACTAGCCGGTCCAGATCTATGTCACATTTGAACACTATGAAGTGGCAGTGCCGCAGGCAAAAAGACACATCCCTAATTGTTGAGATTGATTTTAACGCCTACTGCAGGTATAGTGTTGCATGGGAACAACGAATCCCCCCCCCCCCAGCCCCTCCCCCACCCCCGATCATTAGCTGGTGGCGCTGACATGGACATCACGCAGCCAACGGTCCCCGGTGCTCGGTCTGCCAGCGCCGCGGCACCTGCGGAGAGCCGGCGGCGTCGCGCCCTCCGCCAGCCCCCTGGGTGTGGCCGGCGGCGGTAGCGATCGGTGCCACGGTCCGCCGGGCGGCGCCATCGGCCCTGAACGATCCGCGCCGCGCCACAGCCTGGGGTCAGCGGCCCCGTCCCCCAGACCGCGCCACGCTCCCCCCGGGGCAGCGTGGCGCGGAAGGCCCCCACTGTGACAGGTAGGTTTGATTTTGAGGTGAAAGGGTATGGGGTGGGGGCAGGAGAAAAACAGGTACCATGTTTGAGAGATATCTTCAGCTGGTGGAAAGACGCGCACTCTTGTAACCCCCTCCCCACACGCACACATACTCACCCCCACCCCCTCATGTATGGTACGTTGATGATAACCGTTGCTACGGCTTTCATGTGCAAATCGGTTGACCCAGTACCAAATTGTGGCCCCCGCATGGATGTATGTTGTATATGATTTTTGACAAAGTCCCTACGGCTTTTGTAGCTAAGGAAGCATGCAAAAGACGCATATACATGCCAAATTACACTGCATTGCTATTCCTCCCGTGGCGTGGTTACTTTTGTTTGGTAGAATCGAATATGACGACTGACGCATGCTCATGGTTTTTACTTACATCTCAGAACAGCGTTGACAAACAAATGGAAATACTGAATCACGTCATTTGACATTGGTGGATCACTCGTGCTGTAATGAGCAGTTACAAACCCAGATGGTTGAACAACTCGCAACATTTTAAGTGCTTAACATCATAAACTTCTGACATTCCAACAGTAATGTAAAGCGACTTTCATTGTCATTAAATGCAGGAAACTTATTGCTTCCAGCAATATGCGGGATTTTGCCCTCTAATATGAAAACGGTGTTTTGTGACGCTCTTGACATGGCTAATTTCCATATCGCATGCATACGCAACGTGCATCTACAATTACCGGTTCGCGACTCGG